TCTCTCTCTCCGTTGATAGCCCAGCACTAGCGCACCGTTTTAAGGGAATTGCTCTGTGTTTAATCAGACATCGCTGGTTCTCTCGGGTTAAGGCATCGCCGTCATCTTGATGGCGATGGCGACGGCGATGGCTCGGATGGCGACACCTAATTCGTGGAATCCATTAGTCTAGGGAAAAGCCCTCACGGGCAGCCACCCCCTGCGCGTGTTTGGCCATCCACGAGAGAAATGGTGGCAACGAGAGTAACAGCGATAGCGCGACAATAATAGCCGATGCCTCAATGCAGCATCCTGACACATGCCAGAACTTAAGAGAAAACAACAAATCTAATAAAGAAAGTAGAAAACGATTTTAATAAAAATCGATTTATATTATATTGACATATGAGACATTACAGTATTCGCTGCTGATTAAATTTCATAAAATATGCAATAATCTTTATCCGAAATTTTATATTTATATATCAAACACAACAAGCATCGGTCATTTTACGACTTTTATTTCTTATATTTATTCGATCGCAATCGAAAAGAAATCTTAACCTATATATAAATAAAACATATGAATAATTTTGTTATACATCGTAAATTACAAAATTGATTCTCTTTTATTGGATATATCTACATGTTTATTTGAGATTAATATTTACACAACATATATTTTTATCTATCTCTTTTTCAACAATGTATAATATAATATTGTCAAAAATTAAGAATCAATTTCTTAAGAATCTTAAGATTTTGTCTTACATATAAAATATACGACAGTGAATATATTTTCTGTGACAAAGGTATAATCTTAGCGCGTTACTTATGCCATCAGTGAATATAAATTAACCTTAAAACATTTCTCACGCCTACAAGCATGCACTCGGTGCCTATGTAAATTAATTTGCTCGGGGATAAACGTGCCACATATCTATTAAATACGCTATCGTGTAGAAAAAGGCCCTTTACAGCTACGTCATAAAAAATGTATGAAAGATCAAGGGTTTCTAGAAGTCAGATCTTTTCCTATCTTCCTTATTTGCCAACTTCCTTGACGAATATTTAATGCGTCATAATTTTCCATTTCTGAAAATATAATATTTATGGCGATTAGTCCATGAATTAAAATTTCATTGAATCGCGCTTGAAATAGACCTGAAGAATACCTCTGAATTTCAAAGATTATTTAAAGTATTGAAGAGAAGAGATAGCTGAAAAAGTTACTTACATGGAACTCGTTACCAGTCATTAACTTTAAACGAATGTAAGCTGAGGGTGGAACTCGGTTTAACATTGAAGCAGCTGCAAACGACTTATGTAATCGCGTTTGTAGGTTACATCTTGCAAAGTAAAAAGACGCCCTAAAACAAATTCCGGCATACATCTCGTTACATGAAAGCCTCCACCGAGCAAATGAATTTATGTAAACTCCAGTACCTTCATCTTTTTTATTTGCTGTTGAAACATCACTGGATCATAAGACGGTCTTCGCGCTCGCCCGAGGTACATTGCTGGATTAAGGAATAGTAATACGTAACAGCATGGACGGTACACAAAATGTGTCTCTCAGCCATATTATTTTTACGGAATGTTGAATGTAATGTGAGAAAAACATGAGATGTTCCATATAATCCGTCTCAAACTTCCCTTAATTATATTTGGAATATTTCGGACGTACTGTTTTTATTTAGATGTAGAGAAGATTATAAACTATTAATGTTTATGTGACGATGTTATGTCGTATAAAAATTTGCTTATTAATCTTTAAGTGGATAGATGGAATGCCACAGCATTCCAGGTATAGTTTTCTTTTAAAACCTTATTTATAGAAAAGGAAAATAAAAAGTATTGCTCAAATGCCTAAAAGTCTTAAAGTTTATTATATACCTTACACATTCATGCATCTCATGGGAGTGTAACTAAAGTAAATTAACTAATGTAATATACTACAGAGAAAGATCAATTTTGCTGAAGTATATAAAAATTATCTTATAGATACAAATCTGAAAATAATTTTATTGGACTATCAAAATAATTATGTAAGAATCTCAAGCATAATAAAATGCCGCAAAAAGTTTGGACAATTAGCTTGAGTGTCCTACATAATTATTTTGTGCAATTTAAGTGACTACATAGGTAATATATAAATTTACATAGTTTATTTAAGCACTTAAGATCCAGATTATTAAAGGTTTTCTTTCCCTTCTTGTTAAAATTATTTTAATTTAACAAAATTATTTTTAGATTTATATTTAGAAATATAAAGTGTCTAAAGTTTTAGGGGATGTTTTGACCCATCTACCAACTTGCGTCTTCTTAAACCTATCTATTTAAAGATTAAAACTGATATGTCTGAAAATTGCAAGAAATAAG